GATAGCGAGTCAGTTAGGGTCTGTGTGCCCAGGCTGCCCAGAGAGCAGAGTCATTGCCCTCACTAACTGCTTCCATCTCGAGGGGATGTGGTCAAAGGTAAGCAATATACTGACAGTCCTCTGACTGCTGTGATGGTGTTGTTTTCCCAGGGAGCTGGCAGAAGCCCAGGAACCAAGGCTCTGTGCAGTTTGCAAGCCAGGCTGTCCCTAATGTCCCAAGGGGGCATGAAAAGGTTGGTTGCCAGAAAAGCTCTTGGGACGTTGCAACCCCTCTACCTGAGAGCACTCCTCACATTGGCAAGGGCAGATTCAAGCGAGGCGTTTCTCCATTTCCATGCGGTTTCTCTGCCCCTCTCCTGCCAAGGGAGCATGCTGGCCTGCCTGTGGCAGGGGAGAGGCAGCAGCACCCCGCTACACCCACGAGTTGTTTGTGCCTCAGCAAGGGACTGAATACCAGGAAAAAGGGGAGCAAATCTCATACACTGGGCACATGCAACCAGGAAGAGCTATGAGACAGCTGAAAGACAAGCAGGCAGCAATGTGGCATCCTCCCATCAGAAGGGTCTGACTCTGAACTAAGATCATCTCTGCCTCACCTCCCATAGCTGGCATGGCTTTGCAGGCTTCTCCCCAAGAAGAAATTAAAGTGTTAGTACGTATCTGAACTGCTTTCAGAGTCAGTGGCCATGCTGTGAAAGCCATGGCCTGCCTGTTAGGTCGGCTGACCTTTATACTGCAGGTTATGGGTGCAGAGTTGGTGGCGGGTACCAGTCCTCTCAGAGCCTGCCTTCCCTCCGGATCAAAGGTTTCCACCCCACACTCGCCGCTCTGACCCACGGCCCTGGCCGGGCAGCCAGCCCCAGCCTATCACCGCGGTGTCGCGCCGGAGCCGGAGCCAGGGGAGCCAGGACATGCGGGGATGCCGGGACTCGCAGAGATGCCAGGACCTTCAGGGATGCCAGCCTTGCTTCCATCTCTAGATGGTGCTCTGAGGCCGGGCAACGGCCGTGCTCCTCCGGTTTGAGCCGTGCCATTCAGGCTCCCCGCTCTGCGTCCTGCCGCCGGGAACACACCGGGACTGGGGAGGGCAGGATGCCCCCCTGCCAACCATGGCAGGAGGAGAAGCCTGTTTAACCCTTCCAAAAACTGACTACCGTCTCAGCTCCTCCTGCGGTGACATCCATCCCCGGGCCATGGGGTACCGTGCCATGGTAGTCAACAGACTGCCTCCGCTGCCTTCCCCATCCCTTTGCTGTCCCCCTTCTCCTGCCCCAGCGAGGCCACCTCAGCTGGCCCTACAGCGCCCCATGCTTTCAGCATCCCGGCAGGCTGCCCCTCTCCCCCTTCCTGTGCAGCCTGCAATAGTCTGTCCTGGCTCAGTGGATTTAGCACAGGGCTGACGCTTGCGGGGTTTTCCAATAGTGGCACTCCATTAGGGCCCAGCTCTGCTCTTACCACAGGCAATGGCAAAAGTCCCATTGACTTTGCAGGGGCAAGAGCAAGCCCTTAATGGCCTGGGAAAGTAAAGCTATTTTTTTCTCTTTCTTTTTGTTTACATTTAAACCCATGGCCTCTTCGTATTGCCTGTCCAAAATCTGGCAGAGACCTCAGGCCCTCCTGCAAAGGCAAAGAAGGGCTGCTAAAGCTCTAATAAGGGAGCAGAGGCATTTTGCCACACAGAGGTCACAAGCCTGCATGCAGCTGCTGGAGCAGTGCCGTGTGCCCTGCTCCTGGGCAAAACCTGGAGGAAGCCGAGATGGTTGAAAAGGAGCACATTTGTTCAGCAGCACGGACATTTTCAACAGCATTTCCTGATCATGGAAATCCAAACCCATTTTCTCCCCTTTTGAGATTATTGTTGTGGTTCTTGAAAATATTTTTAGTTGCAGTGTGCATCAAAATGTTTTGCTGAGCAAGTTTTGGGTGAGTTGAAAGGTGCCAATGACGATTAGTTTTCAAAAGGACTGTCCAAAAGTGTCACCAAAAATAGAACATGAAACGAGTTTCTCAAGTGTCATTTAAAACAACAACAACATTCATTTGGAAGCTGGCAAGACCGACAGCAGCGTAGCTAGCTGTCATGGGTTGGAGGATCTGAACCAGTGCCTGGATTTTATTCATAGGGAGAAAGTCCTTCCTCTTCCCATTATCTTCCTGGTATTTGAATAGCTTCTAATAACAAGCCAAGTAAGAAGCTCAGAAGTCAGGCAGGAAAAGAAATATAGGTTGCAGGCAGATAAACAAAGCAGCAGCGTCTTCCTCCTGAGAAGCCAGCTGCCAGCCCCTTGGGATTAGGGACAGTCTTTCTGGGGAAGCAGCCCTTCCATCAGATCCTGGAGGAGGGACGGAGCCTGGGGATTTTATGCCCTGGCATGCAGTAGAGGTATCTTCTCTGAAGAGCACAGGACAAGAGTGTGTCAACTACCTGAAAAGTGATGCTCCAGATATTGTATGCAAAAGCCAAAATACCAGCGTGTTTATGGTTGTGAATAGCTTGGAGAGCTGATCTGCAGGCTCCTTAACAATGTCCAACCTTCTTTAGAGCAAACAGCCTTCCAGGATGGATTCTCCTGGTGGCCTTTCACAGGCTGCATAAAGGAGTCCCCAACACACAGCCAGAGGGGCACTTGCTGAAATAGATGCTGCTGTCGCATGATGTTTGTGTGTGCGCTGTTGGGTGTTGTTGGGATGAAGATGTGGCATAGGGTGGTTTACACCCCCATGTGTGGCATTCACGTGTAGTGTGTACTTGGGTGTGAGTACTCTGTGACTCAAGCATACAGGTACGCAGTACCTGTTCAGAAGGATGCACATATGTACTGCTGTGTAGGAGCAAAGCCTGTGGGCATGTGTGCAGCTTGCAGAGGCCGAAGAGCACTTGTTAGTGGGAGGAGTGATTGCCCCATGCCATAGGATGGGCTGTGTGTGCCCGAGGAATGTGCTGTTTTGACAACATAAGCACAGCTGCAGGAGGAGTGCCTGATGGGCAGAGACTTAAGCATCACCCTTGTTCTCCAGCACTCTGGCTGTTCCTTTCCTTCCCTTCCCTCTATCCCCTCCCCTTAGCCCTCTTGTGTCCCTTGGGTCCTCCCCAGCTCTCTCCCCTCTCTAATGACTTGACAGTGTTGACAGCTTTCTCCCAATTTTATTGTGAATGACAAGGTTTTAGCTGATTTTCCTCAGTGGCTTCTTCATCGTGATGCCAAACATGACATGAAAAGGGCCAGCAGGTTCAAACAGATGGACGGAACTGGGATACCAGCATGACCACATGACGTTTGTTCCTTTAGCCTGATTGCTCCTTTTCCCATTTTTCCCACAAGGGCCCTACCAGCTGAAGTAAGTGGCAATGCTGGCCTATGTCCTACTTCAACCACCCCAGCTGTGCAAGCCCATGGCCCTGGTGTACCTCAACTGCCCCATCCTTGCCTGGCTCCCCTGAACACTCACTCCTTTGAGATGCACCTCACAAAAATGACCATGCTGTGGGCACTTGAACCCACCAAGCTTTGTCATCTGCCTCTGAAGGATGCTGTACCTCAGCGACAGGGGAGGCTGCCCAGTCATGTGGATTCCCCCTCTCCTAGAGGCCACCACCCCAGCCTGTGTCCTGCATGCCCGTGTCCTCACACACAGAGTCCTTCTCTCTCGGTCCATTAATTTGTTTCTGCTGCCATGGTCAGTGGCAGGCACTGGGCTCTGAAAGCTGTATTAAAAGCCAGGTCAATACCAGCCCCTGCTTATTCCCTCTGGGGACAATAAATAAGTAATAAAGGGAGGGAGGGGCTTCATTAATTAGCACTGGAGAGGAGAGGTGGGACAGGACACACGTGGAAAAATGAGGCTGTCTATCAAGTCAGGAGGCACCACAATCTAAGATCTCCTGTTCCCACTCTGTGCCCAGTGGGAGGAGAGGAAGGCATTAGAAAGGCACTAGGAGTGATGCCTTTTCTTTCTCCACTCCTGTCCTGATGCCTTGCTCTTTGGTTGTCATCTGTCTGCTCTCTTTTTATCCTTCTGCCAGCTCCTCTTCCCTTCTTGGCAAGGATTCCCAAAGGTGTCAGATCACTGCTGGGGTGGGCAGCTGTTTCCCACAGAACCTACATCCCGGATGAGAAATAGCCACATCTGGGTCTACACCTGTCTTGTTAGCCTATCTCCACTCTTTCTCACATGCACTTCCATGTTACCTTACTTTCTCTTCTTCTTTTTCCCTTCCTCCTCCTCCACTTGCCTGCTGTGCCTCCTTCTTCCTCTCACTCCTACTGTTTCCTTCTTTCCCCTTCTGCTTTTCCCTCCTTCATCTTGCTTTTTGAACTAATTCCAAATTGATATCAAGATGCTGGTTTTATGCTGTGTAGATCAAGGGTTGGGTGGGACATATTTCTTCAGCCATTCTCCCCACATCACAACTGATGGGTGCCTGGAGCATCTTCCTGAGCTACCTGTTTGTCTGTTTGTCCTCGTATCATCTACAGTTTAGAAGGAGTGATTCTGCTGCTCCTAAAGGAAAAGGCTCCTCAGGTTTTTTTGTTGAATGAGAGCAAAGTGACGTTGCAGCTCCAGCTCTGGTCGATGTCCTCCCTCACTCTCCCTGGTTCTCACTTGCCCCTACCAAATTAAAAGAAAACAAACAAACAAAAAAGAGGTTTTGGGGTCTTTCATGGTTTTTTTTTGATCCTTACATCTAGAACAGTGTCTGACACATCTCTGCCTTTTCGCCAAACACATCTTCTATCTATAAACCTTCCCTGGGCAAAACTCCCATCTCCAAAGCAAGCAGGATTGTTTGACCCACCCTACTGGTACTTTTAATGCAAGTGCTTCCTTCCATACATGCATTTTGTATGATCTTCTCCCTGAGCAAATTCTCTGAGTCTCCTATTGTAAGTCTTTACTAGAGAGGCCCAGAACAGGGGAGCCCTTGTGGTGGAGCTTCCAGGCACCAATACCATACAAAGAGCAAACACCAGCACTAATAACTCTCACCAGTCTCTACACCTGGCTTCAGCCTTAGGGTCTCTCCTTTACTTCCAAACCTCCCCTGGGATATTAGACTTTATTAAAAATAAATAGTTACAAATTCAGTTTTACAGCCGATGGCAGCAGGGAGAACGGAGGAGGTGAAAGGAGGAAGTTGAGGGTCTGCTGTCCAGTCAGGTCACTTGTCTGTCATCCCAGCTGCACTGTGCCAGGGAGCAGTCTGAGTGTGCAAACACAGGGCCCTGCCTCCTCTGACAAGCGTCTCCGCAGAGGAGCAGGATGTGTTTTGCAAGAGGAGTGGGAGAACTGGGTCTGAGTCTGTGGAGCTGAGCTGCTTCTGGAGGTGACAGATGCCAAAAGCCAAGGAGAGTGCAGAGTAGGCTACAAAGAGCGTCCTTGTCTCCTAGCTTGGCATTTGCAGTGGAATATGGATTTTAGTTCTCATTCTGTTTTATACACAGTCATGTTCAACAAGCAATAAACATGCAAGTAAACCCCTCCCTTGAGATCCTTTCCCCATTTCCTCCAAGAGTCCAAAATTCTCCCATCCATCCTTATCTGGTCAGTGCTTAGATATCGCTTCTCTCCTTCCTAGTGGCAGTCGACTCCTGACAGCCATGGTGCCTACCCATGTTGAGAGGGTATCTGTTGAGACAGTCTGCTGCTCCCTCAGCAGCAGAAACACTTGTTGTAGGTCCTGGTCTGTCCATTGAGAGCAGGGACTCCTGTCGCCTCTCCAGAGATGAGAAACCAGGCCTGCTGCTCTCCTGTCTCTGGGCAGGAAAGGGGTCCTAGCACAAACTGCACACACGGGAAGAGTCGTGTATCCTCACTCCTCTTCCAGGTAGTATGACTTCATGGGAAAGGGAGTATATCAGAGCAGCTCCAGGCCTTGATGTACTCAGGGGCTGAGACACAGTCGTGGGAGGCATTTTTTGGTGGGCAAGGGACTTATCCAGCTATGTACGGGTGCAGAACAGAGGAGACTGTGGGCAACAGGTGTAGAATGGGGAGACTGGAGGAGTTAGATGGCTGATTCCCTGCGGTACGAGATTGTATCTAGGGGCAGAGTTGCCTGGAGCCGCTCCAGGTCCAGGTGGCTTCCAAAATCCATCATCTGGATGACGCCTCCCTCCTCCTTAGTGCTGCCTCCTAACACCACACCCACTTCGTCATCATCTTCATCTTCGTCTTGACTGACAAGAGCCAGCTCATTCTCATAGCAGAAGGCACTGGGAGGTGGGGGAGAAGGTAGGATAGTCATCTTGCTTTCTTGCAGCTCCCGGGCTGAGCAGCAAGGTGTGCCAGCTACCTCGTAGGTCTTGTGAAAGCGTGAATAATCCACTTTGTAGTGGTTCTTCTCCTCAAACACAACCGGTTCAAAGCGATGACCCCAAAGGATTTCACTAGCAAGGTAAGAGCTTCGTGCTTGTGTGGTCATGGCTGTGGCTTCCACCATCCCCTCAAGGATAACAACAATCTCAAAGTTCTCCGTCTCCAGCTCCTCCTTGCCAATCCCGTAAAGTGGACTCTCCTCGTCAATCTCATGAACGATAATAATGGGTGAGACCAAAAATATACGATCAAGGCCCACATCGTAGCCCACATTTAGGTCCCGCTGGTCCAGTGGGAGATATTCCCCTTCCTCTGTCATGTAGGGCTTGATGAGCTGGGCTCGGACATGGGCCTCCACAATGTGGCTCCTCCTCAGGTTGCCCACCCGCCACATGAGGCACAGTTTGCCATCCCGCACGGAGATGACTGCGTGGTGACTGAAGAGGAGAGTCTGGGCCCTCTTCTTGGGCCTTGCCATCTTGGCCATGATAGTGCCAATCATGAAGGAGTCAATAACGCAGCCCACGATGGACTGGACCACAACTGCCATGATAGCCAGCGGGCACTCCTCAGTCACGCAGCGGAAGCCATACCCAATGGTTGTCTGTGTCTCCACTGAGAAAAGAAAAGCCCCTAGGAAGCTGTTCACGTGCATGATGCAGGGCTTGAGGAGAGAGGGACTGCCTCCCACTGCTGGTGCATTGAGGTCACCATGGAAGAAAGCGATGCACCAGAAGAGGAAGCCAAAGAAGAGCCAGGAGACCAGGAAGGCAGCAGAGAAGATCATAAGCATGTAGCGCCAGCGCGTGTCCACACAGGTAGTGAAGATGTCGGCCATGTAGCGCTGAGACTTGTTGCTCAGGTTGGCAAAGTAGACATTGCACTGCCCATTCTTCTTCACAAAACGGTTGCGGTGCTTCCGCCGGGGGGCATGGCCCTTCCCATTCCGGCTGTGCCCGTTCATGCTGCCCAGCGCAGAGACCTTGTGTCCATCCTCTTCAGTCGAGACGATGCTGTACCTGGAAGAGAAGAAACAGGCATTGCCAGCAGAAATACATGAAGAATAACAGCAACCACTGAGACAGCGAGGGCGGGAGACGTGTGGGTGGCTCACATGGCTACGGTACCGCTGTGTTGAATATCACAACAGCACGTTTCCCTGGTTATTGCACCGTGGTGCCACCCTGACCAAATTGGTGGAGCTCGGCTGCAATATTTGTCAAGTCTTGCTGCTAGGAGGTTGTATCTATGGAAGTCCTGACAGGGCAGCAGAGCAGCAGAAGCCTGTAGCACTGTGCTACCTTCCAGCCTTTGCGGTGGGGAGGGATCCAAGGCTTTGAAACCTGGCAGCAGCTGGGACAGCCAGGAACCCCACGAACAAGCACTCGCAGTATGGCCACACTTTGGCCCTGACATTACATAAGGCCTGGATTTTCTGTTTTCTCCTCTCTGCTTTCATGGTGCATTGGTGACAATGTTTATACACTCCCTGAGCTCAGGACAATTCTGTTGCCACAGCAACGCGCGTGGCTCCCAGTATCCTGCATCCGAAGCCAAAGGTGTAATTTGGAGATCAACAGCCAAAAAGTGCTGGCAGTTTCCCTGACAGAAGCTCCACACACATTTTCTGGGAGACATTTGCCCCTCCAGCTCCCCTCCCTCACAGGCAGCACTGCTGCTCCCCCTCACAGGCTGCTGGGATAGTTGTAGATACTCCTTAAAGATGTGATGGCAGAAGATGCTCTGACCACTGAGGAAATCAAGCAAGTACACAGGCGCACCAAGACCACTCTGCCGTCCCAACCACTAAGCCACAGCCTCCCAGGACCCCTCAGGCTGGCAGTGTCTCCCTCCCATCCATAGTGTTGACACATCAGCTGGAGCCCTCCTTCATAGGTTTTGTGACCCCCATCCTCATCTCATGGTGAGGGAAGCACTGGAGGCTGGAGCTGTGCTTCCTGGGGACATGGGCTTCTGCAGCAATGCTGGAATCTGTAGTTTCTGGTCCAGCACCATGCACTGCTTTGCTTCTCCATACCACTTCTTTGATCACTGTCCCCCTGTACAGAATGTTTTGGATTGGAGAAAGAGAGAGGAGCCAGGAGCAGGAATAGACCCTGGCAGATGATTTGAGAAGAGTATACTGAAAGACAGGCTGAAGATAGGACCTGAGGGGCCAGAGGAGGAGGAGCAGGCCACCCAGGGCAGCAGCATCCTGGAGAGGAGGGTTACTCACCGGTTGACTCGGACGCTGCCCATGGCTCGCTGTATCATCAAGTGTCAGGGGGCTGCAGCTGGGAGGGCGCAGGATCTCATGCAGCAGCACTCACATGGGACCCAGTGGCTCCAGGTTTCACCTCTGGCGAGCTGGGACTGGCGCTGCCATTGCAATTGCTCTTGGGCACGTGCCTTGCAGGGGAGGATGAAGCAAAACCCAGTCAGAGCATCCCTTGACAGCACCCTTCCCAGTCTCAGAGCAGGGGGCACACAGCTCCCAGCCTTTTGCTCAGGAGGGGCCTGGAGTTGTCCATGGAGGGGTCCACTGCAGTCTGGCTGGAGCAGGTTAGGAGCTGATGGATCAATGGCCCACAGCCCCCATGCTTGCCGACATCTACTGCCAAGAGAAGGGCAAGGCCAGACGGTCACCACTCTCCAGATCAAGGGCGCAATGGTAGAGCAGCTTGCGTGGCCCTTCCTCTGAGCTACTATATTAATATCATAGCTTACAGGAGGACGAGAGCTCAGCCAGGCTAAATACCTCACACAGAAGGACTAATGAAGCATGGACATGCACGGCAGCCCTCAAGTATCCCCATCAGCCCAGCCTGACCCAGAGGGAATTTATTTCCAGGGGGTGCAGAGCATCCCTCCTGTTTCAAAGAGAAGAAAAGCAACGAGTAGAGCCAAAAAGGAGAACTGATGGAAAGTAAGGGCTTAGGGGTAGCCAAGGAGAAACTGGTTAGAGCAAACAAACCTTGTGATGTGTCCTGTGTGTACAGCATCCAAGGAGCAGCTCAGCAGCAGAGCCCTGGAGAGGAAGTCCAGCAGATGTTATGTCCTGACCCAGTTCTCCCCAGACAGAAGAATGGGGAAAACGAAGACTTAGGAGCCGACCTATCCTGCCTGCCCAGAGCTGCTGGGAAGTGAAATGCAGTGAGGGGGTAATGACTCACAGATTAGGAAGGGCTTTGTACACCCATGCTAATCCTGCACTGTAACCTTTGGATTACAGCAGTCAGTGTAGAGCGCAAGACACAGATAGAGCCAGTTAGTTTGCTTCCTCCCAGCCTCAATGATGAGCAACCAATGGTTGCCCTATATGGGACAAATCCAAGGATCTGGAGGTCAAATCCAAGGTTTAGAGCTGCCTGTGAGTAGTCATGCATGGACAGGAGAGAAAAACAGCAAGTGATGTCTGGGATGGAAAACCATCCTTGCCTTATCATCATTATTGCAGACTGGGGCTTCATGTGGCTAGGGGTGGCCACCACCTTCCCCCACTTAGGAGCACAGACAAGAAAGCAGCAAGTGATGTGCAAGCACTGCTGTTGTCATGTCTGGGGTGAAGATTAACCAGCAGTCTCTCCTCCAGAGACCAAGGTTACTGAGGCACTTTAATCTCTGTGGCAACATAAACATGGTTGTCCAGACCAAGGATATTATGGGACCAGGAGAAGACAGCTACCTTGTAGTCCACAGCTCACCATATAGAGGTAGAAGTGAACAGCTTCCTAAAAATTCCCATCAGGAAAAAACACTTTGGCACTGAACTTTGCCAGCACCCACCCCCACACTGCTCTACAGCATCCAAGTCTTAAAGGAGGGTTGGTTTGGACAGATACAGGAAATTTGGTTATGCAGCTGGGTAAACCTACAGCAGAAACTGGGGTTGGTAGCAGAAATTCATCAGAAATGTAGAGGGATGACCAGGTGATGAGGAAAGGTCACTTCGTGCTCACAGATGGTTCTGCTAGTATAAAGCTAAGGCATACTCTCAGTGATTATGTGGTGAGTTTCTACATCAGGGTCCTGCAGGTCTTTAGGGGGTGACAAAGGCAGGCAATTTAGGTATACCCCTCTAAGACAGCTCCAGCCAGGAGAGGAAGGGCATCTTCTGCAACTGGTGCCTTCCTTAGGCAGCCTGGATAAGACAAGCTCATCCTTAGCCAGCACTGACACTGACACCAGAGGAAAGGCACTGTCACAGCTCGCAAGTATGGATACTTCACAACTGCCTAAAGGTTTCTCACCACCTTTGTCACCACCTCACCACCACGACCCTTTCCCCTACTGCAGGAACAGATGCACAATTTCTAGAGATTTTGGATATCTGGCCTAGGAGGTGGCTACGAAAGGAGAAGGAGGACCTAAGGAGCATCTGCTCACTGCAACCATGTGCAGTAGTCTGCTTCTCACCTTCCCCACCTCACCGAGGAGGGGCAAAGGAACCAGATGAAATGCAAGGGACTTGCTCATCTCCATTTCTAGCTGGTACAGCTGCAGGAAAAGGTGGGCACACTGTTTAAGAGTGCTGCATCCCATGCTGCTGTGCTTCCTCCTGGCTGTCACATGGGAGCCCAGGGCAGCCAGAGCTGTGGCACAGTCTGTTGCAGTATGTTGCCCACCACAGCTGGACCTTCCAGCCTGGGAAACATTTGCCGCTGGGTCCACAGCTCCAGAACAAAGCTAAAACTACATCCCTACCTGCAGTTTGTACTTAATCACAAGAAATAATTTCCATGAAGAATAAAGGCTACAAATCTGAACACACATTCAAGCACATGAGAGCAAATGGTTTTAATGTAGGCTGTAGTGGGAGACCCGTGGTCTTGATCCATACATTCTTCTGTCGGACCCGAGTTCATGGCTCTTCTTCTGCTTCAACTTTATGAATTTCGCCCATAGATTCAAGGACCTCAGCAACAAAATGCAGCAACTCTTCTCCAGAGGTGAGCTGTTTGATGGACCAGTTTGCACACATTATTACCTCGTGGAGGTTCCACAAGGAAAAATCTATCTTGTGTTTCATTGCTCCCAGGTCGGGTGTTTGGCCTGCTTTCAGGTTTTCATTCTCTGCCTTGGAGCTCTCCAGCTCTCCAGCTCTCCCTGGAGAATAAAGATCTTCTGCTTCAGCTTTTCCACATTGCTTTCTGCCTCCAGATCCCGCTGGGTCATTAGCTAGAGGTTCCACTCACTCTGCTGGGCAAAGGTCTGCGGCTCTTGGGCATCCCTCTCCTCTTTGGCCAGGCTGGCCTTCAGCTGCCTCTGCAGCTTCTGTATCATGCACGCCTGGCTCTTCATGAAGCTCTGCATGCTTTCAGTATCCTTCTGAGCATGGCATTCTCCTCTCTGAGCATGTCGTTGGTCAGCTGCAGCAATTGGAACTGCCTGTCCCTGTTGGCCTCCTCATACAGCATGTGGGGTCCTGCTCCCTTGATGTGTTCTGGGTACCCCAGATAAGGGTCACTGGCATGGGCCCTCAGGGAAAAGGCATCAGTCCCCGAGTGATTGCCCATGCTACACTGGAAAGAGTCATAGGAGCCACAGGGTTCCATACTTGCTGTTCGGAGGATGTGTGACCTTTGATGCACAGGGAAGTGACAGACTCAGCTGTGTTCCTCATCTTCGGACAAGCTGCCAACCCTTTTCATGTCTTTGTAAAATGGTGTCTGAAACTCCTGAGCTTCCTCCTCAAGCTCCTGTGCATACTCAGCCAACTTCCCAGCGTAGATTCTATTTTTCTCGGCTTTGTCTTCCACCATGTGAGAGTGCTTAGAATTTAGGGAAAATGGGATGGCTTCTCCTAGATCCTCCACCTGATTATCGCTCAGATTCTCGTAGCTCTTGGACTGCAGTGGAGGACACACAGAGTGGCAGGAGTAGTTCAATTCATCATCAGCATCATCATCATCTTCCAAACCTTGAGGTTCTGGGCAGACCCTCTCTGCTGTCCCCGAGGTGTCAAGCAGCCATGGCATTTTCAGGATGCTTTGGGCTGCAGCAAGCAGGAGGGTCCAGATTACCCTGTTGGGGGTAAGTGACACTGACAAGCAGTGTGCCAACTTCTGCAGCCTCAGCGACACTCGTTGGGGAAGAAACAGACGCCTAAATCCCCCCCCCACCCCCTACCAATGTGTTTGGGAGGGAGTGGAGAGAAGGTCCACGCATCCCTGTGTGTGTATTGTGGAGAGAACAGGAATCACCAGGTATGCGATGGCACCATGAGACTGCTGTCAGGTCATGACCACGGGGGAGAGGAACCAAACAACTGCAGAAGTGCCCCTTTTGGCAGCGGGGTGATAATCTGGATCCTCATGGTCTGGACCAGACTCCAGCTAGAGGATGCTGCCAGTGGGTAGAGAATAGCTCATGAAGCTACCGAAGACCTCCAGTGTGCAGGGGGGACAGGGACCAGCTGGCCCTAGCAGGCAGCATAGGGCAGAGGGGACAACCCTGCCCTGCAGGCTACTGAGGCTTCTCAAGCTGCAAGATCAAGCCAAGGGCGTTTTGGTGCCAGGGCTCACTAAAAAAAGACATCGCCAGCGCTTTGTCCAGAGGCATCACCCAAAGCCCCGTGCCCAGTGAGGGGTCTGCACCATGGCACTGCTGATCTGATTCATCCCCTGCTGCCAGCTGGCGCAGGGAAGCGTTAGTAATGCCGGGCGCCACAAACTCGGAGCGGCACGAGCCAGGAGACGAACAAAAATAAACCTGCTTACCACTTCCACCCCAACACACCCCCACTGCGTGCGGTGCCTCCACGGGTGAGGCAGACAGGCAGGAGAGAAGCCCTGGGCTGGGGACTGCCATTGCATTGGGCTTGCATTCAGAGGTGCCACACCAGGAGGTGATGTAGCCACTGTCCCCCCTTCAGCAGCTGGTGACCCAGGGCCGCTGCTGACGTCCCAGCCTGCACAATGGATGCTGGCAGCTTGGTTAGGCCAGGGGTTGTACCAAGAGGCCAAACCCTAAGAAAACTCAGTTCAAATGGCTGTGCAATGGTCCTGTTGCTCCTTGGAAACCTGAAACACAAATGGGATGAAGGTGGAAGGCTCAGAGATGCCTCCAGCAAAAGGGAGGTTTCAGACCCTGGACAGGCAGCTGCCTATCACATGGATGAGGGGGAGGAAAGCCTGATAAAGGACAGAAATATAAATCTTGCAGCATGGCTGAGGACCTTGGAGCTTGCTCTGCCTCCTGGGACCCGCATGTGGAAGGGAGCCAGGGGGTCAGCACTGACTCCTGGGGAGTTGGATGAAACCACACTGGTGGTTGCAGCATGGGTGCCCTGGGAGATGCTAGGCAGGATGCCCCTGCATCCCTCTGCTGCCCTGTCCTTGGCATACATCAACACCCACCTATTTCATGGCCTGAGGAAGCCCCCTGTCACTTTGGGAAGCCGCTGCAGC